CGGATCAATGTTTTATTTACTTCCATTAGTACGCCGTTTGAGTACTAGTCTTGGTCAATTTTCATGCCTGCACCGAAGGAACCATGAGCGGCTTACCCTTGCCAGTGATTTCCTCGGAAAACACCATTTTACTATTCTGATAGCAACCATTTTGTGAGATATTACACTCTAGGTGTTTCTTTCCAGAACGCGAACGTTTTGGTTGTTGAGGAATGGCTTTATCTTAAAAAATTTCTTGACCAGAGAAAACGACGAAGGGTTGCATTCGACTTTCTGCATTTTTGGCCCGGCAGTCCCTGTAGTTGAGCAAACTGATAGATAGGGCTATGAACCCCGTTTGCGCCTAATGAGAGGCCAAGACACATTAAAGTGTTCAGATATTGTTTAGAGAGATTGTTCCGAAAACATCTACTTGAGGTAAAGTTGAGATTACTCGAAAATCTCTTACTAGCACTTTAAACGAAGCATTCTTTGTTAACTGGAGCAGCTTTACAATTCCAAATGGAAAAAGTTCGAGGTGTAGCCTACATGGAACGTATCAATGGAACGTGTGTGAATGAACGTGTTTTCGCCTCACAAAATAGTTTAAGGAGATTAAATTAAAGGCAATGGACACGATAATTTGATGAGGGTGGAGAATGCAACTGAGACTCTCCGCAATCCACCATTGATGAAAAACCCAAAAAGATCCGTGACCACTTTATGTAGTTCATTTTTGGGGAAACACAGAAATTATTGAAAATATCTGGCAAAATTCACGCAACTTGAGGCACAGGAAAGAACAGAGTTAGGCGGCTATCCGTCTCAGGGTCGCGCCCGCTCAATCGCCCTTCTATTCGGATTTGAAGAGATAGTTGAATGCTATTTGTCTTATACAATGACTTGTAAGTCAGCCGTGCACTTCTATCAATGGCAAAAATGGAGTGATCTCGGTTTAGGTGGCACAGCTGTTGATCACGTCCCGCCACCTTTCTCTTTGGTTTCTGGTTGTACCTCTCCTACAACTTACAAGCCGTTGCCTTACTTATCGAATGATCTCATGGCCTTTATAGCTGATGTCCGTACCATCGGAAGTGCTAAAGTACGTCTTTCAACTAAACACAGCCTGCCTGTATGACCGCGGTGACATCTTCGATTTGGTCTTCGCCCATTCGTGTCCACCAGCAGGCCCATATCAACACCCTCACTCCCACGAAGTAAATTGATTAGCGCAATACTTGTCTACAGGCCAGCACTCGCTGCCGTACAGCACAGTTGCCTTCACCCTGGCTCCTAAACATTACCTTCAAGTAATCCAGAAAAGATCGTGAAGAACACTGCTGGATTCCTACCATTCCATCTATACTTTATGTGAACTACTTTCGCAGTCGAAACACATTTACCAGGTAACTTTAATTAAACGATTTCATGCAAAAAACCACCTTAACGTATAGCTATTTAATGACAGAACAATTTATCACAACATCAGAGTAAAAAGCACACAAAACCCAGTAATTTATACAAGTAAAAAAATTAGCACAAGTAAAAGAAAAATGGCATTTATATTTCTCGAAAGTCCGTGGGCCTTGAAAAGACTGCTTCCATAACGACGGATGGCGATCAACGAAGTGTCTGATCGGGAATCACCCTGTAGATAGTCTTCTCGCGAAAAGTATCTTCAGGTTGTAGACTTCTTTCGAGTGACGAGGTGTTCGAGGCCAGAGATGATCTCGGTCGAATTCTCAGAGAGCATACCTGTAGAAGGATGGGAATAAAATGGACTACAATATGTCTATTCAGAAAAACAGTTCCGAACATGGTGAGCAGTTGATTCCAGCCCCTCTCCTTGGTATTCTTTATTTCAATATAGGTTGGAGAATTTGTGTTCAGTTACGATTTGGTGGCAATTCTTAAAATTTCTGCTTTCATAGTACATAGTGGGAGAGGCGACTCATTAATGAGCTTGGGTAATAAATGGAACTGTTGTGGTGTTTCAGAACAATTCGTGTAGCCAAAGAGTGCCATTTAGCGTAAATGGCAATTTAGGACAAGAAAGAAGGCTATTAATGAAAACAAGAAGAGTGCCTGAATGTGCACTGCACCTTAACTCACAAAAAACCCAAGTGAAAGAAAAAACTTTCAAAACGATCGAACGACCAACAAAAACCGCATAGAAAAGGTATAGTAATATCTTGATGCGAATCTAAGGACAAAAAAGCGAGTGCACTACTTTCACTGAGAGCGGTATTGAACTCACATATATGGTACACATTCTTAGCGTTTGATCGAAGAGTCGAACGTCCTCCTTTGATATGGGATAATCTTCCGGTGGTTGGAATGGTGGACCTTCACCATCAAAATTATCAGTGAACTGCATACCCTCACATAAATGCGGAGCGCCCGAAATCTTTTCAAAACTGAAAACCTCACTACATCAAGGAAATAAAAGAACATCATAAAGCACACATATGCCATTATCCAACTCCAGCAGCTACTCGTAAGATCTAAGACAAATTACCATCTAAGACGTTGACGGGTCCGTTCTTCTCCCCAGTACACAAGCACTTGTAGTTGATTTGCTCCTTTTGGTTGCTGCAGAGAAATAACCTTTTCCACTGTAGCTAACAAAAGAACAAGATTTATGGAAACAAGAAAGCAAATGTTCGAAAACCGTTCTGAAGCAGTTTCATACGTTAATATAATAACATATTATTAATTCGAGATAGAAAAATTATAGAGTAAAGCAACATACTGAGGAAGCTGTGGATGTAAGAGAATTCTGTGACGAACGCCAATCTAGTGAAGGGAGTGGAGATCGGAGACGAACAGAAACTTGCTGAGAAACGGTACTTTTGAGTCAACATCTTTAGCTTCGACAAATAAAATATCTTTGTTTCAACGGGTTGAAAAAAATTCAAGACAACGTGCAGAAAGAAACCACTCATCAGTTTTTATGTGCCAATAGTATGCATTAAAAAAATGCGAACAAAATGTTCCAGAAGCTTACCTTACTATCACCACGATCAATAACTATACCATGTGAAGGACGTATGTCAACAGGAACATGCTCTGCTACGTTGGATTCTCCGGTATACAAAACAACTATACGGGAGAAAGCTCTTCTGAAATAGAACACAATTTTGTTAGAGTCGGATATGACCAGCCATTTGAGAAAGCTTCAGTGAATCACAAAGTAGGGAGATTTTCTCCTGACGCGTCGAGTAGTTCAACGTCAAAGAAGCAAAAGCAAGCGCAGCAAAATAAGGAGTAAAATAAAAAAAGTTACACACCGATTCCCCGAATTTGTCAATGTAAACGAGAAAGTGGACTCATACGAAGACTGCAGGACATAAGTGCCATTTCGTGATATGCGCAGATCGTCCCTAGCTTTGACCGTTACAACAGCAGCGCCTCCCACTCCGCGAACTGGCATCTTCAGAAGAACAAATAAATTGAAAGATT